GGGGGCTGCGCATGAGGCCTGAGCAGAAGAGGCACTGCTTCCCAAACACGATATGCCGGGGTCCCATGGTCAGACATGTAGGACTGATTGCGGGGGAGCACTGGCACTACGCGAGTGGCTTCTCCCGGCACTCAACCCTAACCGAAACCCTTACACCCGAAACCATCAACTAAACCGCAAGGCCAGGGTAAAAAGAGATTGTACGCGTTTCATTACGAGCCGCTCGTGCAATAATCCTCACAGTGCAAAAAAAATCAGCACAAAAAAGCATAGCTTTCGGGCACCAAACAAGACCCTGAACAGAAAGAAAGCCCGAAAGATTGCTTTTTTGCTCCCCAGAAACCCCCCAACCCCCTTCCAAAACCCCCCCAACCCCCCAAAACCCCCCCCAACCCCCAAACAGCCCCCCAGGCGCCAGCCAGCCCCCCAGCTCCGCAGCCTCCAGCCCTCCAAAGCACCCAAAAACCCCCGAAACCATTGGAGCAAAAAGCAAAAAACAAAACCGGCAAAACCGGCAAAACTCCGACACAAACCCTATACATTTCTATTAACCACTAAACCCTCAACCTCACCCTTTCAACCCTAACCCTCAAACCCTCAACCCCTCAACCCTTCAACCCTAAACCCTCAACCCTCAACCCTCAACCCTCAACCCTCAACCCTCAACCCTCAACCCTCAACCCTCAACCCTCAACCCTCAACCCTCAACCCGCAACCCTCAACCCTCAACCCTCAACCCTCAACCCTCAACCCTCAACCCTCAACCCTCAACCCTCAACCCTCAACCCTCAACCCTCAACCCTCAACCCTCAACCCTAAACCCTAAACCCTAAACCCTAAACCCTAAACCCTATACCCTAAACCCTCAACCCAAACCCTGGAAAATGAAGGTCTTCTTCGGAACCTCTCAGCCCTAAACTCCCCAAACACCTGAACCCCAATTCCCCAAACCCCCAAAACCCTAAACCCCTAAAGCTCTGAGCTCCTAAACTCCTGACCGTCAAGACGCCTCGTGACTGAGTCTCCTGTTTATGGATTGCCAGGTTTAGGGTCTCAGTGTTTAGGGTTTGGGGTTTCGGGTTTAGGGTTTTGGGGCATAGGGGTTTAGGGTTTAGGGTTTCGGGTTTAGGGTTTACGGTGTAGGGATTAGGGCTTAGGGGTGGAGGTCTTAAGGGGAGAAGCGAACTGCAGTTTAGGGTTTCTTGTTTAAGGGGCAGTGTCTTCCCTTGGCACACAAGTCGCGATCGGAGCTTGCCCAAATTGATCCACCCTTCCCCAGACAGACCAAAGCTGAGGGTCTTCTAAACCCCAAACCCCCAAACCGTAAACTCTAAACCCTAAACCCAAACCCCAGTTTCAAAGCGTAGCTCGCCCAAACGGGGAGGTCAACAAAATTCGGGCCGAAAGCCTCAGGGCCAAGGCGGGGCAGTTCAGGGCGACTGGGTTGATGTTAAGGAGGAGCGCAACATGCCACAACATACTTGGTAGCCCACTGGTACCCTTTTCCCTTTTTTTGGGTTCTGGCTTCCCTTATAAAAGAGCCAACCCAAAAAAGGGTGCCCTGATTATAACATGGTTCCTGGGCTACCGGGCATAATTTATACAGCACATGTACAGGAACATCAACGAAGTTACCATGAGACCAGTGGTATAGGAACAGTTCGCCACGTGGTTTCGAAGTTATGGTCGCATGATTTGCTGTTCCGGGAGAGCCGCCCTGCGCATGGTCAGCCCAGCCCCAAGACACCCCAGACCCCGAGGGTTTAGGGTTTAGGGTTTAGGGTTTAGGGCTTAGGGTTTAGGGTTTAGGGTTTGGGGTTTAGGGCTTTGGGCCCTGCACCCCCAGGCTTCGCCAATAGGGTTTAGGGTTTAGGGTTACGGGGGAACCACCGCGCTCCCCGCCCAAGCAAAAATGACATCCGGCGTCCTGGGCTGTTCCAAAACCCCCTCGGCCCTCAATCCGAGCAGGCCCTCCAAGGAACCCTGCACCCGCCTACGTAGGAGTTCTGAAACCCAAATCCCTCTAAACCCTAAACCCTAAACCCTAAACCCTAAACCCTAAACCCTAAACCCTAAACCCTAAACCCTGAACCCTAAACTCTAAACCCTAAACCCTAAACCCTAAACCCTAAACCCTAAACCCTAAACCCTAAACCCTAAACCCTAAACCCTAAGCCCCAAGCCCTAAATTCTAAACCCTAAACCCTAAACCCTACACCCGCCTACGTACTGTAGGAGTTCTGAAACCCAAACCCCTCAAACCCCTCGAACCCTTAAAACCCGTAAACCCCCAGAGCTCCAAACACCCCTCAAACCCCTGGAACGCCTAAAGCCCCAAAAACCCCTAAAGCCCCTAACACCCCTAAAGCCCCTAAAATCCCTGGAGCCCCTATCACCCTGAAACCCCTGAAACCCCTGAAACCCCTACAACCCCTAAAACCCCTAAAACCCCTAAAACCCCTAAAACCCCTAAACCCTCAAACCCTAAACCCTAAACCCCTAAACCCGTAAACCCTAAACCCCTAAACCCTCAAACCCTAAACCCTAAACCCTAATCCCTCAAACCCCTGAAACCCCTCAAACCCCAGGCAACCGCAGCAGCATCCGGAAGCCGGTCCTGGCACTATGCAAGGCCGGTTGCGAGGGCCTGAAGGTGGTTTGGGGGCATTCAGGGTTTTGTTCGGGGTTAGGGTGTAGGGTTTCGGGTTTAGGGTTTAGGGTTTCGGGTTTAGGGTTTAGGGTTTAGGGTTTAGGGCATAGGACTTCTTCAAGAGGGGGGGGGTTGTTGGGGGGAAGAAGAGAAGCATGCCTGGACGCAAGCTCAGTTCGCATGTTCCGGTACGGATGCTTCATGTTTGGGTTCGTCAGCGTGGGGGCATCTCAGGGTTCAGGGTTTAGGGTTTAGGGTTTCGAAGTTGGATCTTGAACATCGCTGGGCCTCACCTTGCCTGCGCACAGCATGCTGCAGTCAATGTTGTGTGTTTGCCCAGATTCATCTTCTGCATCCTTTAAAACTACCCTAAACCCTAAACCCTAACAATTTGTTAGGGTTCACCGGAATTCACCTGTTTTGGGCCGAGCCCTGAGCCCGAGCCTCAGCACACGGAGGGAGCCCTGAAAAATTCTGTCTGTGAAAAGGAGCTTCCCTCGCCTTCAAGCTGAGCAGGGTGCCTATGGCATGGACGTTTCACTTCGCGCGAGAGCCGTTGGCTGAGCAGCAGCTGGCCGTTTAGGCCCTGATTCCCCTCTCGTGCATCGCAGATCTCGATCGACCCAGCCATGTGCACCGACGCAGCAGCCAAGTGGCCTGGCGTGGCCACTCTGCAGGAGTGCCGGGCAAAGTGTTCCTACTCTGCCGCGGTGCTGTTGCAATGAGATTAGATGATGAGCTTGCCGGGCTGGCAACAAGTAGGCATGACAAGCAGGTCTGCAGACGAGTGCGTGGGTAGGAATCATGATTAGCCGTGCGGATGTCGCAGAAGGTCCACCCCACGTTGAGAATTGCCCCCTGAGGCGCAATTTACCCTGAACATTGAGCATCCCAGTTGCAATTGTGCCCTGACCCCCTTGGCCAGGAGGAGCAGTGGCCGGAAGATGACCTCAGCACGACGATAACTCCCGCCGTGCTCCAAACTTCCTTGGAAGAGTGCTACGACATGAAGGAGACCCCCCGTTTCGGTTACAAGGGCTTTACGGGCCATGGGGGTTGTCATGGCCACTTATAAGGGCCATAGGGGGCCTCAGATTTATCAGTTTATCAGAGTTATAAGTACCTGAGTGGCCGGAGAGGCATGCTAGGCAAATTAAAGTGGTGGCTTCTGAGGGCTTAGGGCTTGCCATCTTGAAGCAATGCGCGTGTGGCACCTCTAGGCATAACCTGGGCTCAGGTCCCGAAAACCCTAAACTCGACACGCTGAACCCGCAACCCTAAACCCTCCTATGACTTTGGCTTTACCCTCTTGAGGAACTCCTTGGGGAAGGCAAGTTTGGAAAAGTGCACGAGGCACCCCATGTGTGTGCTGGGTACGTGGCATAGCTTTTCTAAACCTTAAACCCTAAACCCTAAACCCTAAACCCTAAACCCTAAACCCTAAACCCTAAACCCTAAACCCTAAACCCTAAACCCTAAACCCTCAACTACACACTAGCAGGTTGCATCTTTTTTCCGGGACCAAGCACAGCTCGCCCAGGCTTTGTGATCGCTCCCGGCACTCAGCCCCACGTTGAAGCCAGGTTAGCCTTACGGCCTTCAGGTTTTTGGTGAGTGTACAAGGCTCTTTGTGAGATTGATGACTGTACACATAAATAAAGACAAAGATACATATATATATATATACACATGTGTGTGTGTGCACACTATATATATATATATGTATATGAATAGAAATATATATATATATATACATATGTATGTATGTATATATATATATATATTTATATATAGAGGAGAGAGAGAGAGAGAGAGAGAGAGACAGACTTTCGGGATAGTGGTAAGCACTACTTTGTATGAGTTCGCATCTAAAGTGTGTTGGTGAACTGCTTGCAATTCAGCACTTAAACTCCACCGTTATTTAGTAGGATTCAGGGTTTAGAGCTTCATTCGGCTGAGGGATAGGATGGGGTCTCTGAGGTGCTAGTCGCATGCATCTGCTCCTTAGTGGCCACATTTGTGAGCCACAGTCGTGAACTCAAATCTCGGAGTGAGGTCAATGCTCCGGAGCCCTTTCGTGCCGGGATGCGCGTGCTTCGCTTTTCTTTCCATGTTGAAAGTCTCTTGCACTCTGAAGTCATTGGAAAGCCGCAAGGGCGCCTGGTGTGGCAAACCCGAAAGACCCCAATCCCTCATGTACAAATTATGTGTGTTCTCTATACTACGATCCGGTTTGAAGCTTCTATTTCAATACGGGGTCCACCTCCACATGCTCTAGCCCAGGCCTAACCCCGCCGATGCCCTGCCCGCTGGTCAGGTGGTCCACAAAAGCAGCCGGCAGTGTTTTGCCATGAAGGCGGGCATGTCATGGCTGCGCTTCTCACATCAACTTCCTACTGTTTGCTTAAGAATCCCCCCCCCCCCCAAAAAAAAAAATATATATGCCGGCGTAGACCCCAAACAGTGAGGAGGGCCAGAAAAGGCCAAAGAAGGCCAGAAGAGCACCGACACTCCCGGGGACAAAAAGTACAAAAGTTCGCGGGGGCCCGAATTCCCTTGGGGGGTCAAAAAGACGCCAACCACTGGGGGATTCGGCTTCGCACGCGTGTGGAACTTGGGGTCCAAAAGACCCAGCTGATGCTCATGATGCTCAACCCCAAAATCGCGCACCCAGCCGCAGGGTTGACCCTAAACCCTAAACCCCCCTAAACCCTGTGTTTTTTTTGATCCTGCCCCCAGGTGGTCTCACCGCGCGCCCAGGCCTGCAGAGGCCACGAGAGGCCGGAATTCGCGCGAAACCACAGCGGGAGCATCGAAATGCAACGGAATTCGCGCGAAGCCACAGCGGGAGCATCGAAACGCAACGGAATTTGTGCGAAACCACAGCGGGGGCGTCGAAACCAAGGCCCCGTCCCACCGCCGCGCGCGCCGTTGCGGTCAGCAACCAATTTCTTTACTCTGAACGTAAGAACCCCATTGTGCAAGCACTGTTTGGGGAAAAATGAAAATAAAAATGAGAATCCCTATATTACCCATGTAAGGAAGAATATTTCAGTTTATTGGGGGCTCTCCAAGCAATTCGTAGTTTCACATGGTTTGCTTCATGACTCCCAGCCCTTCCACGCACCCGAAACCCTGCACCCATCACTTGAAGCCCCCGAGCCTAAACCCTAAACCCTAAACCCTAAACCCTAAACCCTAAACCCTAAACCCCAAACCCTAAACCCTAAACCCCAAACCCTAAACCCTAAACCCTAAACCCTAAAACCTAAGCCCTCAAGAAGGCGATGCCCAGCGGTGCCAACAGCGCCTCGGAGTTCTGGGCGCTCAGGGAGTTGCAGCATCGGAACATCGTGCGGCTCCGCGAGGCCAGGGAAGTTGTTAGAGTTTTTATGGTTTTTGCTAAGGTAGGGTTTAGGGTTTAGGGTTTAGGGTTTAGAGTTTAGGGTTTAGGGTTTAGGGTTTAGGGTTTAGGGTTTAGGGTTTAGGGTTTAGGGGTTTGCTTAAGGTTGCTTGCTTACTTGCTTGTTTGCATGTTTGATTACATGCTGGTTTGCTTACTTGCTTGCTTACCTGCTTTGCTTACGTGCTGTTTACTTGTTTGCGCTTGTTTGCTTGCTTGCTTACTCGCTTGCTTGCTTACTTGCTTGTTTACTTGTTTGCGCTTGTTTGCTTGTTTGCTTACTTGCTTGCTTGTTTGCTTGCTTACTTGCTTGTTTGCTTGCTCGCTTGCTTACTTGCTTACTTGCTGGCTTGTTGGTTTGCTTGTTTGTTTGTTTGCTTGTTTGCTTGTTTGTTTAGCTGTGAACCCTTCTCGGGTAGCCCTCAAACTTTTGGGTCGTTTCCTCAGCAGAAACATTAGAAACTGGACCGGCAGGTAAAACCATCCCCCCATGTCTCGAACCGTCAAAATCCTAGGCCCCAAGCCCTACATACTCTGAAAGAACGTGCTCAGTTGTGAGCCTAGGGGTTGCAAACCCTAAGCCCAAAACCCAAAACCCAAAACCACCAAAACCCAAAACCCAAAACCCTAAACCCAAAACCCTAAACCCTAAACCCGAACAACCCAAAAACCCAAAAGGCCGTCATTGGCACTGAGCCAGGCTTTCGAGCACGATGCGTACTTGGTCATGGAGCTCTGCAGAGGCGATTGGGTGTGGGGGGGGCTCTTAGCTTTGTGGTATTTTACCGTATCTTTAGATCCTTAGCCTTTTTGGGTTTATTGGGTTTCTTAAGAAGGCAGCTAAAATTTTTATTTATAGCTACCCTCCTACGTTCAGCCAAGTTTAGGTTTCGTCTATAGCGTCTAGGGGCGTGATCCCGCGCATCTACTGCAGATTGAATTGATCTTCACCTTGCCACGGCCTGAACTATCAACCTGCCTGAACTGAAACGGGCTCATTTGCGGCCTCTTTCAGCGGAGTCTACGGCGTTTGTTTTTAGGTCGTTCTTATGGCCAAGAAGGCTTGGCGGCCTTAAATCTTCACGCCTTCCTGAGTTGAGTCGAAGTCAGAAAGGCCAGAAGCCCTCAGAAGGCCCTGCAAGACGAGCAAAATTGTGTGCAACATGAGTAGCGGCTGTAAGTCAACGACAAACCCGAAGCTTAGGTTTGTCTACATGGAAGTCATCAATGTTACACAGCATGGCTGTTCCTTATTCACCTACCCACACCTACAGCCACGGCCACGGTCACGGCCACAGCCACACCCGCAACTCACACGGCACGCGCGCAGCAGGCACGCACGGCCCTGCATTTCCCGGCACTCTTCACAAGAAAGTTGCACAGAGAAGTGTGAACTCCACTTGTCCCACAGGATTCCCATCGTCCGCTTCGCATTCATGTACACACTTGTTTGCCTCAAGACTCAAGGCGGCACGTTGATGCAGTGGATTCGAGACCAGTTCGAGAAGCACCTTGGGAAGGCAGGTTGAAGCAATGCGTCTATAGGGCTGCGACAAACTAAGACGTCTTATATACAGTCCTTCGCTCGAAGCGGTACTTGCATCTGCCATAAACTCGTCGATGCCTCAGATTCTCATTCATGTACAGCAGGCAACCTCGCAAACCGTCAGGAGGTCTACATGCCCCCTTCCACGAAGCAAGTCGGCCAGTGCTTGTGGCAAGTTCTAGATGCCATACAGTACCTCCACAGCCTCAACATCGTGCACCGTGACGTCAATACCCAGAATCTTCTACTTGCCCAGGCAGGCGTGCGGAACCATCACCCTAAGCCGTGTCTGAAATGTGAGTTGCTGAGTCGCTACAGCTCCCCTGAAGTAAAAGCCATGCGGCCCCAAGCCCCTCCCGAAAGTGTGGATCCCACTCAGGGTGGTTCGCGCATGCAGCTGAAGTTAGCAGACTTCAACTTGGCCACGGAGGTGCAAGGGGAGTTCTTGACTCAATGCTGTGGCACCCCGGGCTTCATGGCGCCGGAGGTGCTCCAGTGCCACTACTCCAAGCTTTGTGACGTGTGCAGTGCCGGGGTCGTCTTCTACCAGATTGTCAAAGGAGAGCGACTCTGGAGGCAGGTTGACACAATTGCCGCGCACTACAAGGACGTCCTGGACGAGACGCCCCTGAAGTTGGAGAGCACAGCGGCCTGGAGTCGCCATGGCGCGGGCGCCCTGAGCCTGGCGCAGGAGCTGCTGTCTTTAGAGGCGCAAGGGCGACCGACAGCAGCAGCCGCCATGGAGAACCCCTGGTTGCAAAAGCATGCGCTTGGTGCGGAACAAGGGTGCTGTGCCATCAGCTAGAAGTCCCTGACCGACTCACCTCTTAGAAGTTACATCGTATAGCCATGGCAGACTTAAGAAGAAAATGCAAGCACCGTGTTTCGGATCAAGCTCCGAATCCGGGGGTCCATTTTTGTGTCATGCCTGGGACCCTGCCGTGGATCTAAGGACTTTGAATCTCGGGTTCAGAGGTTCAGAGGTTTAGGTGCTGATGAACAGCAGGTAGCTAGTCACCAAATGGGCACCTCCCTTGGCCAGCACAACATCGTCTTGCTCCCGGATGTTGGCTCGGCTGCTTAAATGGGAGCTGAGAGAAAAACCCCGTATGATTGCCACACCCCGTCGTGTGAAGTGTGAAGGGTTGCATCTTACGATAGGGGATTCAACCTAATGAAAAGGTCGGCGTGTGCCTATGGACGTGCGATTTACGATAAGGCAAAAGAAAAAGCGATAAGGCTTTGCAAGGGGCACGCAGACATCATGACGGGGCATTTGCGCATTCCGATATGTGTCGTAGAGGGCACACCGGCTCAATCACGCCGAAACTGTGCATCTTGCATTCTCTCGGGCAGCGCGAAGAGCAGTGCGAAGCTTGCATTCGCCTTGACTGCACCCGAGTCTGACTGGCCTAACGTCCATGCACCTTCTTTGGGTCCGCATAGAATTTCAACTCTGCCGGCCCTGCCTGCGGAAGCGGGTCTTTTGCAAAGTGGGCACTGCGCACTTAGCTTTTTCATGCCCCATCACTCAAATATCCTAGCGCTTGGGCGCTTAGATTTTTCGTACATCTGCCACTCTGGCATCAAGCTACAAGCTTGTCAGTCTGCTTGGAGAGCACGACCAAGTTATACGTGTATATGTGTATATACATACATTATTTTTGTTTTTAATGTTCTTCTTCTTATGGAGATCATTAAGGTATGTATTTCTGTAAAAAATATACGTTCTATATAACATGGAGTACGCAATTCTTCAAGGTGTCTTGAGGGAGAGCTCTCTCTGGCACGATAGCCTTCTCGGCACTGCTCGGCTGCCTTGTGGGCCTGAAGGGGTCCTCCGGCAGCATCTTCGACATCTGAGGGCCCCAGATTTTCGGTGAACTCTTCATACTTAGGGCTCAGGGTTTAGGGTTTAGGGTTTAGGTTTAGGGTTTAGGGTTTAGGCAGGTGACCTTCAGCCTTTGTGAGTTAGATAGAACCCTACGAGACATAAAAGGTTCACCCTCTGTTGGGCCAGCCCAGTCATAAGATTGGCAACTAGATCGTCCTTACTGCCGACGATGGCAGTGAGGCAGTGAGGCAAGTGGGTTCTGCAACAACTCAATTCTGCTGACCCGCCGTAGACATGTACACCCTAAGCCAAGGAAATCCACCGCAGGTGTGTAAGCAAAGGGCCCACCGCTCACCTAAGGATTTGGCGCACAAAAATATGTGTGCCAATATATCGGGTACAGGCTCGTTCTCGAGCGATCCCCTTCTTTGTATCGGCGGCTGACAGGCCCGGAAGGCTCGATACCAGGCTCTGGATCCACGTGTTCACGTTTGAAGCCAATGACTCCAACAATCTTCTTCAGCTTCTGATTGCCATCGAACTTGCGGCTGTGCCCCAGCGTAAGCATTGTTATCTACCTTAAGCTGCAGCATCAGGAGTTGTGCTTCCCATCGAAAGCCGCGAGCTGGATCTAATCCGGGCTCAAATGCCTGGATATCAAGTACTTGTCAACATGCCGGTCTTCTTAGGGGTTGAGTATCCTTGGGTCCTTCGGATGTGTAGCGCTAGGGCTGGCTTGTCTGGCTGGCGAGGTAGTGGTAGTGGGTCTGGGTCTAAACACCGGCAAGATTTCCCGATTAAGCTTGTTCCGTATCTTTCAGATGCGTGAGGGTGTGCATGATTCTGATATCTCATGCTGAAGTTGGCAAGGGAATCTGGAGGATCAGGAGCTGCGTGACAGTCGGTATATTGCATTTCTCCTTTCAGGCAAGCGGCAAAGCCTTGTCACCCCCCAGGACGTCGTCCAATGCTCAGGTCAGAAGACTTTCCTTCCGACATGGTCCGAAAGGAAACAAAAGCATCCCATTGAACAGGGGTCCTTTTCTCGACCCCCAATCATATCCTCAAAAAGAAGTATTTCATATCCCACGAAATGTGCATAGTCTATGATCAGTTAGATTGAGATCTTGGCCGCAAGATTTCCTACAATCATTTTTCATACGCCCCTTCGTTCCAAATGGGTAATATTGGGAAAGGGGAGGTTTGAGTCAGAATGATTAAGAAATCGTCGTTTAAATGCACGAGCCTATTAAAAACAGGTGAATAAATCACCGGATTTCAGAGCGCGGACGATGTAAACGCATGCTTTGCCAGGTTATTTGCGAGTTAAGATGTATACAAATCACTATGAATAAACCCTCAACCCTAAACCCTAAACCCGATTACGTATGTACAACGCATTCATTCTGGAAACTTCATATGGCATCTCAAGGTAAACCTTAAATGCCTGGATCTTCAGGCCCTTCACCGTCTGCGCGACACGTAAAGCCTTGGGGTACAGGGTTTAGGGTTTAGGGTTTGGGGTTTAGGATTTAGGGGAGCTTCCTCACCCCGCAACCCTCCTTTCCCTCCTGGAAGTGTAAAAGTGCCGTAAACAATCCGAAGCCTTGACGAATGAATCACGCAAAGCATAGTATTTGCAAACGTGGTTATATGAGTATGATTTATATGGGGTGGTGGTCTCTTTAAGTAGGGTTTCTGTTTCATAGGGGCACATATTGGGTCTTTATTCGGGTATCTAGGGGCTATGTTAAGGTATAAGGGTACCAGATAAAGAGGCCACCGGCCTTCATAAAGTATGATCATGTCAATGACAGTACCAGATCAAACACACACACACACACACACACACACACACACACTGCGAATAGCTCAACACGACAATGCCAGTGTAAATGCACTCATGACTTCCCCTAAACCCCCTAAACCCTTATCTTTAAACCTAAACCTTACAAGAGATAAAGATGCCACCGGCCCTTATAACCCTAAACTCCAAACCCTAAACCCTAAACCCTAAACCCCTAAACCCCAAAACCCCAAAAACCCAGACCCTAGATCCTAAACCCCTAAGGATATGAGGTGCGGAGAGCACTCCGCTTGCCAGGTGACGCGCGGCGATGGTGTAGAGGAAGTCGCGCAGGCCTTGAAGGCCCTACAGCATCTTGGGATTGCACCCCTCCCCCTCCCCCCAACCCCCGGGTTTAGGGTTTAGGGTTTAGGGTTTAGGGTTTAGGGTTTAGGGTTTGAATGAAGGCCCTACATACACCCTTCAAGGGATTACATGGGATACCTCATGCCCTCATTCTCTACTAAGAACCAGTCAGCCAAAGACTACGAAAACCTTGAACACCTCCAAGCCCAGATTCCCTAAATCCCTCCTACAACTGTTTACGACAGGTTCTGTGACGACGGTTTAGATCTGCCCGCCGGCCGAACCTCAACCCAAAGTTGTGATCGCCGCGCATCACTCCCACGGACCTGAAACTCGAAAGCCCCTAAACCCTCGACCCTCAACCCTAAACCCTAAACCCTAAAGCCTCAAAACCCTTCAAAGTCCCAAAGCCTCTCAAAGCCCCCTAAGCCTCAAAACCCCCAAACTCTCGACCCCGGCCCCTCAAGCCCCTGCAAAGCCTTAAGTTGGAACAGTCCTTAATAGGGACTAGAATCCCTATTGAGGACTGTTAGTATAAGGGGGAGCGTCCCAAGCCTTAAGCCTTAAGCGCCCACACTCCTGAAGCCCCTGAAAGGCTTCAAAGCCTGGAGCCCCTGAAACTTCAGCCCGAAGCCCCTAAACCGCTAAAACCCTATCCTTTGCACCCTCTACCCTACAACCCTAAAACCCCAGAACCCCAAAACCCCAAACCCTCAACCCCTAAAAGCCCCAAAACCCTACACCCCAAAACCCCACAACCCCCCGAACTCATTTCTCGGGCGAGGACTCGCTACTAGAGGCCGAGCGAAACAACGAGCCGGTGGACGGCGGACTCCTGGGAATGGCGGCGGCGCAGGCGTACTTGGGGGAGTAGGGTTCAGGGTTTAGGGTTTAGGGTTTAGGGTTTAGGGTTTAGGTTTGAGCGTTTAGGGTTGAGCTGTGGGGCTCGCTTTTTTTGGGGTTTGGGTCAAGGGAACCCATAAACTCCAAGCCCTACCCGACCCGGGACTACCCCCCCAACGACCCCTTCGTAACGGCTGACGGGTTTCCCACAGCCCACAGCTCAAAACCCCAAGCCCGACAGCACCCCAGAAGCCTGCAGCCCCCAAGGCCCCTAAACCCTAAACCCTAAACCCTAAACCCTAAACCCTAAACCCTAAACCCTAAACCCTAAACCCTAAACCCTAAACCCTAAACCCTAAACCCTAAACCCTAAACCCTAAACCCCTAAACAGCTGCCGCCCCAAGGCCGGCCGGATGGGGCTGAAGGATCTGCTGGCCACACTCTGCGCCCGCGGCCCCGCGCAGGGCTGCTTGTTGGGGGTCTTCGGAGCTCTCTGAGGGTTGAGGGGTTTAGGGTTTAGGGTTTGGGGTTTGGGGTTTAGGGTTTGGGGTTTAGGGTTTGGGGTTTCGGGTTTAGGGTTTCGGGTTTCAGCGTCTCAAGTCCAAGCATTCACTAGTCAAGCAATTACTCGAGCGCTGGAAGAAACCCACCCGCCAAAAGAATCCCATGACATTAAGAACATATTTCAACATCTTTTTTTCAGGCGACAAGACACACAACATTCTGCCATAGAAATCAACATGTGCTTAGTGTCCCACTATATATGGTCCAAATGTGCTTCGTGTCCCACTATCTAGGGTCTAAATTTGCTTAGTGTCCCCGGCCCTAAACCCTAAAGCCAGCCCAGAGTAGGCCCCAGCCTGGCCCAGCCCTTAGCCCTAAAGCTAGCCCAGAGCGGTCCCTAAACCCTAAAACCTAAACCCTAAACCCTAAACCATCATATTCTTACTGGGCAGGGGGTGGGCGCCCAGGCCT